CCCTTGAACTGAGTGGATTGCTAGTCCACTTTAGCAGACAGTTAACAGTCAACCACCTTGTTCTGGGTCTGGCACAACACCTAGGACAGACCAGGTAAAGATGGTAGATTTAATCAAACACGAAGAATATTGGAGAAACTCAGCAGGTCTGGCAGCATCTGTGGAGAAAGAAACAGCGTGTATGTTTCGAGTCCAGTATGACTCTTCTTCAGAACTGAAATGTGTTGGAAAAAAGTTATATTTTTAAAACTTTTGCCAAAGGCAGAGGACAAGTAAAAGGGCAGAGGCCAAATGCAAAGACAAATGGCTTATTAGTAGTGAAGAAGAAAAATATATGTAAACAGGGTGTAAATTAAAAATGGAGAAAGTTAGAAATTGCTGGTAAACTCTGCAGGTCTGGCAGCTTTTGTGGAGAGAAATCAGAGTTAACGTTTTGGGTCCAGTGACCCTTCTTCTGAATCATTCTGATCAGAAGCATTAACTCGGCTTTCTCTCCACAGATTGAGCCAGACCTGAGTTTTTCCAGCAATTTCTGATTTTGTTTCTGATTTTCCAGCAACTGCAGTTCTATGTTTTTAGGGAGAAAGTTAGTCCTTGCTACTAAGTGCAAAGTTAACAAAATACAAGCACTAAAAGACTGCAGGGGAGAGAATGGAAGAAAAATGGAAGAGATGTGTGGTGACGGTATCCTGCTGGAGGTGGCAGAAATGATGGAGGGTGATCCTTTGAATGCAGACATGAGTGGAAAGTAAGGGCCTCGGGAACCCTACCGTTGCTCCAAAAGGAGGAAAGGGGTGAGGTCAGAAGTGTGTGAGATGGGTCAGACATGGCTGAGTGCCCCGTCAACCACACAGATGAGATGTTGTTCCCTTGAGGATGTTGATGAAACTGACAGGTACAGTGCTCTATGATAGTTCAACATGGCTTACAAAAGATGCCAGATTGAGATTTACAGTGATAGATAAATTACAGGCAGAGAATTGAGACTGCAAAACAGAATACAGATAGGTATTACAAGACAGAAACAGGCCATTCAGCCTGACAAGTCCATGCTAGTGCTTGTGATCCACGAAAACCTCTGCCAACTCTATTTCGTCTCACCCTATTTGCGTATTCTTCTGTCCCTTTCTCACTTGTCTACCTTCCCTGTCAATGCATCTAGGTTCGCCATCTCAACTACAACTTGGAGTGATAGATTCCAAATTCTCACTGGGTAAAGACAATTCTCTTAAATTCTAAATTTAGAAGTGGCTATTTTATGTTTATCCTCCACCCCTCAACTTCAATTCCCAAAAGCAGTATAACTGGCATTTGGGGCTCAGTGCCACATGTTGAATTGATACCCTATTGGAGTTTTGAGGGTGGTGGGGGTGGTGGGTGGGGGGTGCGGTGCTGGTGAGATTTGCACAGATACTATCCACAAGCGGAGGCAGCTGAATCCCAATTAACAGTAATTCCAGGTTTTAAAGCACTGAGATAAAATGAGATGCTCAGTCTCAGGCGTTGGCTTTGTTATGGCTGCAGGAGAGTGATTTACACGCATTGATTAACCTGTTTCTTTAATTAGACACGGTTAACATTCTGCACAGTGCTCACCATTTACATCAAGCAGACTTGTCACTGTTTAAAAGACGGTGAGGTTTGCTTGTGGAAACAGACAGGCAGCTGAAGTGGAGCTTTATGTATCATGAATAAAACAAGACAATCACTTAGGAAGTTCAACAGCAAATTATTGTGCATCATTTACGAACAGAATCCCTGCAATTTCAAACTCGAGGCTTAATTTTGGAACTTTTCCAATATGGCCTCATTAGCAATTAAGCAAAGCAAGTAAACACTAAATTAATGGGTTCTTGTGGTGCAGCGGTAATGTCCTGACCTCTGGACCAGGATGTCCAAGTTCAACTTATCTGCTTCAGAGGTGTGTGATGGCAATCCAGAACAAGTTGATTAGAAATTTTAAAAGGAAGAGAATTAAATACTTTGAAAAAGAGGACTAAATTAACTATGATCAAAAGCATGGGCATTTAGATTATGTGTAGGAGTTAGCACAATTTCTTTTATTCAGTCGCGGGGTGTGGACATCGCCGGCCACCCAGCATCTATTGCCTATCTCTCGTTGCCCTTGAAAAGGCGATGATGAACTATCTTCTTGAACCACTGCAGTCCATATGCAGTAGGTAGACCCACAATGCTCATAAGGAAAGGAATTCTAGGATTTTGACTCCGTGACAGTGAAGGAACAGAGATGATGAGTGGCTTGGAGGGAAACTTACTCCCTGTCTCTAAGCCATGAGGTGTGGGTTCAAGCCTAATCTGCTCTAGAGATTTGGAATAACATCTCTTGAACATGTTGGTTGGAAAATATCTGGCAAACATTTCTCAGTAAAACCATCTGTATATAAAATATTTAGAGATCTGAAAAATCTGGTGAATGAAGAAAATAACCTTAGTCCGGGTTAATACTTGCAAAGTTCATATTTTTGACCCTTTCTAGAAAAATAGAGAAGCTATATCTTGTGGCAACAACAGTTAATGATACTTTTTTAGTAATTTTGATGGCTATCCTTTCAGCTTTTTCCAACGAGATAGGAGCATTAAGGACGCTTAATATTGAATACAACAAGGAAGATCCAGAAATTAAAAACTGCTTTTTCGAGTCTATAAGCTTGATTTTAAAAATAAACAGCTATCACAGAGCAACAAAATCCTTGAATGCTGGCAGTGTGTTTTCAATAGGATGTTGATGCAAACTGCTACACAGCAGAGGATTGGGACAGTTCCTGCAATCTTCCATTATATAGAGTACTGATGAGACCACATCTGAAGGGCTGTGTACAGTATTGGTCTCTTTATTTGGGGAAGGGTGTAATTGTGTTGGGGGCAATTCAGAAACGGTTTAACAGACTAATATCTGAAATGGACACGTTGTCTCATGAGAAAAGGTTGGACAGGCTAGACTTGAACTTACTGGAGTTGGGACAGAAAGAGGTGACTTGTTTGAAACATACAAGATCCTGAAGGGTCTTGACAGGTGCATGTGGAAATTATGTTTCATCTAGTGGCAAAATGCAGAACCGGGAACCAATGGTTCAAAATAAACAATCACCCAGCAAAGACAGATGAGGAGTTTTTTTTATTTCCTCACTGAATCTTTGAAACTTCCTCAAAGGGTGTTGGAAGCAAAGTTTTTTTTTCATATTTGTAAGGCAGAAATAGATAGATTTCTGATGAACAAGCAGGTGAAAGGTTATGGGAGTTTGCTGGCAGGGATGTGCAGTTATCAGAACAGAGATCAGTCATGATCTTATTGAATGGCAGAACAGGGGCTGGGTGACTTACACCTGCTCCTAAACATGCTCCTTAATCTTTACAGCAAATGTTCACTCCCTAGTTACTCCCAGACAAACACCTCTCTGCAGGAGTAACTGAAATTTGTCAGGTTTCTTAGTTACAAGAGATGATCTGGAAGGGAAGATTGACATTGTAGGAAAATGAGTCAAATTGTAAGCAAAGCCCCCGAACACTGGGAAAGGAATGAAAAGGAGGGAAAGCTGGTTTTGTTTATGCGTGTGTGCATGTGCATGTGTTTTCACACTTGCTCTGTTGCCGAGAGTTATTACAATTCACAACACAAGTCAGTTTGCAAAAGTAGCACAGAATCTTTGTGTAACCTGGGATTGCGATCAGATCACTCATCAGTCCCATCACTCATCAGCTACACTGTTGAACAGATACTCACACACTGCCACAAAGACACACACACATTGGCATACAGACACACAAACACAAATGCACACAGACATCCAGATACATACACAGCCACACAAACATACAAACACACACACACATCAACATACAGACATACAAACACACATACAGGCACTCATTCACACAGCTACAAACATGCACGTACATACATACATACAAACACAAACAAACACACACAGACCTACAGATACTCAGATACACACAGCTACAAACACAAACAGATCACAATTTATGCAGACATACACAAACATACAGCCAAACACACGCAGCTACAAACATACATACAAAGGTATACACAGATACATGCATACTTAGCCACAAACTCACACTGACACCCACCCACCTACTCACACACAGACATACACTGAGCACGCACAGCGAGTGTAAGCTCACTGTCACAGAAACTGTGCCGGTTTAAATGTTTCCCGTGCTCAAACAGTGTAAAAGCAGAGAGATTGCCTCTTGAAAATCCGAGTGGATGATTCATTTGTTTTTTTGTTACCATTCAATCTACTCGGACACAGACGCTTGTTGTTTCAACGACACTTCAATAATCCCTTTCCACCTTGTCGTCTCTAAAATTTATATTTCACAAAACATAAGGTAATTGCAAGCTCTGGAGTATTTCAGTGGATTGAATCACTGCTAATGAGTCTCGTTCTGTGGCATCACAAGTTCTTTTTTGTTTCTTGCTCGCATTCCAATTTGAAACACACGTTGTCAAAGCAGGCAAGGCTTGGTAACAAGAGATTTTGTGTGAGAGAGCTTGTCTGAGAGTGTGTCTGTTTCTCTGTGTTTGTGATCTGTGTCTCTCGGTATATGTCTGTCTGTACCTGTGAGTCACTGCCACTGTACTTTGTGGCTCTGTATATGTGTGTTACTTTGTATTTGTGTGCCTGTGTGTGTGTGTCCGTGAATTTGTGTGTCACTTTATGTGTGTGTTAGCGTCTGTTTCTACGCTTTCGCCCGTCTACCGCAGATCTAACGGGTTACATTGAAGCCTGAACTACCGATACTCCAATGAGTGATTTATTTATTTGTGCGTGGGGAGGTGGGCAGAGGAGTGAACAACTTTCAAATCAGCTTCTCAATTCAAGAGGGGACAATAAATAAAACCCATCGCCTGTTGTCCGGAAATCCCTAGCACGAAGCACGCAGAGCGAGAGGGAGGGAGGGAGACAGGGAGAGGGGTACCAGGCTGGCTAGGGGAGAATGCGGTGTCACCTTACCGATGTGAATGATGGAATCGGCGGCCACCCCATCGCTGCTGGAAGAGCACAAGGCACACACTAGGAAGACGGCCGGGAAAACTTCCATTTCCTTCCCCGGGGGTGCGATTTCCTCCTATCAACCCGCGGGCGCTGCCTTTAATTCCGGGAAGTCAGGCGAAGAGTTGGCAGGGAGAGAAAGAGAGAGATGGGGCGTCTTTCCTCTCCTGGCTGCGATACACTCACTGCCCCGCGCTCTGTGTGCTCCCCCACGTCCCTCCGATTCCGAAGCACCTTCTTCTCTGCTAGTCCACTGTGCCCAGAAGATTTCCCCTCCTCTCTCTCTCTCTCTCTACAATCTCAGTTGCAGCATTGAGACGTTTGGATGTGCCGGTGTGAAATACAGCGAATCCAGTTGTAATCCGACAGAGAGAAAAAAAATATCGAAACGACTCAGCCACTAGCGCAATCCAGGGCTGTGTATCACGCAGAGGGGCAGATTAACTTCAATGTCCCTGTCTGTAGAGGAGGAATGGGGGGGGGGGGGGGGGGGGGGGGGGGGTTATCTCTGCAGTTGAGAAGGAGGGGACCAGTTGAAGAATCCAGAGCAGGAGGGCAGTACAAGTCTGGGGGATGTCCGGGTACAGCGGAAGCAGCCAAGCGCAGGTTCAAACACAATAGATTTCGCTCGATCCACCGATCTAGTTGATCCCCGCTCTCCTGAAGGCGGGGGCGGCTTGCAAACATATATATTTACACAGGCATCCAAACTTTTTTTCTCTCTCTCTCTCTCTCTGCAGAGGGCGAAGATGGGGGGAGAGAGAGAGAGAGATGGCACTAAACGGAGCTGCAGCCTGACTATGTGTCAGAGCTAGAGAGGGCGCTCGGTATCACGAGCACGTTGCTTAGGAATACAACACCCAGCGGGGAGGCACACACACACAGAGAGAGAGAGAGAGAGAGGAGAAAAGCACAGATTATATGGAATAATACGATAGCAACGGAAGCGTCAGCCCGCTGCTCCTTAACAAGCCGTACTCCTGATTCAAATAGAAAGCGGCTTGAGAATGAGAAGTAGAAACCTGGGAGGGAGGACTAGTTGTCTTGCCAGAACTGAAGCCACGCTGGAAATGGTCCAGGGATCAGCTTTGTCCTACATAGGCATCAGGCACAGCGCCTGGCAGGAGAGGTTGGAGTTTTGAGCGCGTCTTTAACCATTTGAAGGCGCCCATACTGTGTGTGTGTGTGCGTCTGTAGACTCTTTACTCCCCAGGCAAAGGACACAAATAGCAGGGTGTACGGACCGCACTCTCTCCCCCCGTCCTCCAACAGCCCCTTTCCCCGCCCGCTGCGCTTTGTGGCGGGGCTTTTTGAAAGGACTTGCAGGAAGGTGCTACATTTTGCCAAAGCCGGAACAGAATCACATCAGCAGGCCACCCCTTCCCCGTGTTGAGTGTGGAATAGAGTTAATCCATTGAGTTCAGGGCCACTCTCTCCTTTTGACAAATTTGGGTTCTCTGCAGCTGCCGGGAAAAGGCGGAGTTTTGTCTTTTTTTTTAGGGTCGGGAATGAGGTAGTGCTTTAAAATCGTCGGAGAACGAAAACTGTTTCAACTCCAGGGTTGCTGTTTCACATCCAGCCGGCACAAATCTCCCACAGATAGCCCTCACTGCCCAAAAACCTCCCTGTCATACAGAGAACCTCCCTTGTCTCCCAAATACAGTGCGACTGAAGACAGTCAAATGATTTTCTGGGGCAGTTAATTGACACAAGCACAGAAATGCTAGAGAAACTCAGCAGGTCCTGTAGGGAGAAACAGTCAATTTCTCGAGTCTAGAATGACCTCCTCAGAACTTGTTTCCCCAATTCTGAAGAAGGGTCACTAGACTCGAAACGTTAACTCTCTTTCTCTCTCTACAGATGCTGCCAGACCTTCTGAGCTTCTCCAGCAACTGCTGTTTGTTTTTCAGATTTCCAGCATCCGCATTGTTTTGTTTTTATTTGGGAAATTATCCGATTGTTCGACCATTGACATTATCAGTGTTGACCCCCTGACACATTTGTTCCCGGGTATCTTTTGGGAACTGGGAAAATCTTGTCAGAAATGCGACCAATTTCTCGAAGACTGCTTGCTTTGATAGCTGGTTGACAGATCCCTCGACAATTTCTCAGCCTGCTTAACTAAGTAAAACTGACACTTTTTTTGTTAATAACAGAGTTTTAAACGGGTCAACGTAACACATATATTCATGATCATGTCAGCCGGGAGTACAAGGCGCCGTATAAATAACGCAGGATTGTGTCAGTAGCTTCCTTTCACGTGTATGGGAGAGAGAGGGAGAGAGAGAAAGAACCAGCAATTAATTATTTTAATTATCCAGTGAGATATGGCGCAGTTCGGGATGTCAACCTTGTACTGTCCTCATTTGTTCCTTAAAGTCTGTTAATATCGCTTCAATTGGAGCTACCCGAAATCAATTTCTCCCCAAATTTCTCCCAATCCAATTTGACTGTTGATTACAAAGTATAGGCAATCGAGGAAGGTTGTCAGTCTAATCTGACGGAACACACTGCAATATTCTCATCTCTTACTGAATCTGACATGACCTAATCGTACCCCTTCCCATTTGAAAATAAAAAGGCATTACTTTTCTGTCTTGCACTTATTTTTTTAAAAGAGTAAACCATTTGGAAGCGTTAGTTATGACACGCCTTTGTTAATCATCACATTCCAGAATGGGACTTGACTCCAACTCCTTTAATCCGGGAGGCAGGGACACTACCACTGAACTGCACATTCCTCTGTCCCCAAACACCTTGTTTTCATCCTTTTCAAACTGTTCACTTCCCCAAATTACAACTATCTTTCTAACGTTTTCTGTTCTGATAAAAAGCCACAGATCTTAAACGTTAACCTCTTTCTCTCTCTCTTTCTCTGTCTCTCCACTGTTGCTGAGCATTTCCTCAGCCATCTCTGCTTTGATTTCAGAATTCCAGCATGAGCAGTATTTCCCTGTTGTGAAATTTAGGAAGCCGTTTAGTTCCATTGATCAAGTGATTGTCAATTCTCATTCATACAGGTCGACGTTGTTATTTATTCATTTTAAATAACGAATGCTGGCGGCTGCGAACTCAGAAGATTTGGAATTGTCCCCGTTTTACATATATTTAAATAATTTTTGTGTTGGTTTGTTGGGAATGTGAGCATCGCTGGTTATTTATCCCTAATTGCCCCTAAAAAGGTGACACTGGTCTCACTTTCTTAAACTGCTGCAGTCCACATGCTGTAGGTTAGACTTATGAGCTGCTAGGGAGGGAATTCCAGGATTTTGACATAGAAACACAGGAGATAGGAGCAGTAGGAGGTCATTTGGCCCTTCTGCTCTACCATTCTTCACCATCATGGCTGACAGTCCAACCCAATAGCCTAATCCTGCTTTCTCCCCATAACCTTTGATCCCATTTGCCCCAAGTGCTATATCTAGCTGCCTCTTGAATACATTCAATGTTTTGGCATCAACTATTTCCTGTGGTAATGAATTGCACAGGCTCACCACCCTTTGGGTGAAGAAATGTCTCCTCATCTTCGTCCTACATGGTTTACCCTGAATCTTCAGACTGTAACCCCTGGTTCTGGACACACCCACCATCGGGAACATCCTCCCTGCATCTACCCTGTCCAGTCCTGTTAGAATTTTATACGTCTCAATGAGATCCCCCCTCATTCGACTCCAGCAAAAACAATCCCAACCTAGTCAATCTCTTCTCATACATCAGTCCCGCCATCCATGGAATCAGCTTACTAAACCTTCGCTGCAGTCCCTCGAGAGCAAGAGCATCCTTCCTCAGAAGAGGAGACCAAAACTGCACCCAACCACAATGAAGAGAGGAGTATGTATTTCCAAGTTAGGATGGTAAGTGGCTTGAAGGGAAAATTGCAGATAGTGGTGTTCCCATGCGCTTGCTGCCCTTGTTGCCATGGGCTAGATGGCTGGATTACATTGGAGAGTAACACAAACAAAGTTAGTTCAATTCCTGCCCCAGATGAGGTCACCATAAAGGTCCTCCCTTCTTGACCTTGCCCCTTGCCCGAGGCGTGGTAACCCTCAGCTTAAACTCACACCTGTCATATTTGTCTACGAGAAAGCAGTTTGTTTTTCTGAAGAAGGGTCCCGACCCGAAACGTCAGCGTTCCTGCTCCTCTGATGCTACCTGGCCTGCTGTGTTCATCCAGCTCCACACTATGTTATCTCTGACTCCAGAATCAGCAGTTCTTGCTATCTCTCAGTCCTCTGAATTTTGGTGGCTGTGGGTAGAGGAATTAGTGTTTGCAGTGCATCTTGTTACATTCTGCCACACTGCATTGTAGTGGAAGGATTGAATGTAGACGTGGTAGATGGAGTCAGTCAGTGTGCAGCTTTGTCATGGTATGGGGCTTCTTGAACGACAGAGAGCATTCCATCACCTCCCTGATTTGTAACTGTCAAATGGTGGTGAGGTGGTTACCCCTAGCCTTTATAGCCACGCTATATAGGTGTACATATGGCTTGTTCCATTTCTGGCAAGGGCAAACTCCAGGATATTGAGAGTGAGGGGTTCAGTGGCAAGTAAAGGGGTAGAGTAGCCATAATCCTACCAGACCATTGGGCTGCTCTCTAATGAGAGAGAGAGAAAAAAAATCTAGTGGTGGCGGTTTTAACCCGACGATCACCACGCTTCAAGTCAGGGGAAAGGTTGTGAAGGAGAATCCTTCATAGTAACCTCATCTGGTGCAGAAATTGAACACACTGTAGACAAGCATCTGTGTCACAAACCAGCCCGGACAGCCAACTGAGCTAACCAGCAATATCACTTAATGTTAACAGGCAATGATTAGATTCTCTGTAAATAAAAACAAAAAGAACTGAGGATGCTGCAAATCAGAAACAAAACCAAACATTTCTGATGAAGGGTCTAGACCCGAAACGTCAGCCTTCCTGCTCCCGTGATGCTGCTTGGCCTGCTGTGTTCATCCAGCTCTACACCTTGTAATATCAAACATTGCTGGAAAACGCCAGTGACCCTTCTTAGAGCCCGAAACGTTAACTCTGATTTCCATCCACAGGTGCTGCAGACCTATTCAGCTTTTCCAGCAATTTCTGTTTTTTCTTGTTGGATTCTCTGTTGGTGGAGACAGCTATTGCCTGATATTTGTGTGCTGCTAGTATTACTTCTCACATACCAGCCTAAATAACCTTCAAATATCTCCAACCAACGATCGCATAGGCGAGCGATTTCGATAAACGGTGGGTGGGAGGAGTCAGGTAAAGTGTAACAATTCGAGTGCTTCAAGCTATTTCCTTGTTAACCGCTGTTATTGTCTAATTCCTCTCCCCTGCCCAATGTGAGCCTGTTCAACACAAGGTGCTCAGTGGCAAAATCCTCAAGAAAGGGTGGGCACGTTTCGACCTGAACCGCGGCGTACTAAAGATAAAAGGAGCTAAATTTCAATCTCCTCTCTGTTGAAATCCTGGCCACCACCTCGATCTGCGAGGAACTGCAAGGCTTTCCCCTTTAAGATGGACCCCACCCCACTCTGATAGTCAGAATCATGTTTTAGTTAAACATGGGATTGTGGGCCGGCCGATCGTTATAATTACAGGA